GTATTTTAAACTGTATAAAAAAAATTGAAATCAATTGTGAAAATCCATTCCTTATATAGGACGGTCTCTCCTGTTGATTGGAAGTAGATGTTGATTATTTGTTGGTATTCAGCTTCACCAATTTCTTCTTTAAAATGTTTGCAATGTTTTAAATGATTTAGACATGTTTCTTTTTTATTAGTAAAATAAAGGTCTTCAATAGGTTTATTAGGATTTGCTTTAATACAAGATCTACCAGGCAAGCCCTTTACGTGTAGAATTCACTTTTTCTATCAAAAGTCTAAGCCAAGGTGTAAATAAATGTTGCTTCTTTCCCTTATTTAATATATGTTAAAGTTGTGGGAAAAACAATTATAAATAACTTGTATCAGTTACTTAACTCACAAATCGGTTATTTAACCAATTATCAGTTCAAAAGTTCAAATGGTTCAAAAAAAGATTTGAACTGGTTAAATTGCCAACACTGTGATATAGACATAGCAAAAATTGATTTGTAACACTATAATTGACACCTTATCAAGATAAAATTGAAAAAATCCTTAAAGACATTTGAACTATTGGTCAAATGAAAAATACTTATGGCCTAGATTTAAATTGACCCTAATCTTGTAAACAAAATACTTCTAAAATTGAAAAATAAAAAAATTATTATTTAATCATGCTGTAATGCCATAATCATGTTGTAATGTCATAATCATGCCATAATCTCATAATCATGCTGTAATCTCATAATCATGCTGTAATGTCATAATCATGCTGTAATCTCATAATCATGCCATAATCTCATAATGTTGTAATCAGGTTAAAATATTGTAATTATGTTTAAAATATCAAAATTATGTTTAAAATATCAAAATTATACATGCAGCCCAAAGTATTTGTTGATGTCAAAAGTTAAAATATTCCAATGCCAAAAGTCAAAAGTCAAAAGTATACTATTAAAAACATAACTGTAACACCCTTTATGACATGTTTAACCTCCTCCTTTATGACAGTGTCAAAATAACTTTGGTATTTTGGAAATATTATGGTTTTAGGTAAAAAGACAAAATATTTTGGCAAAAACATAGCGGGTATTCGATTTTACGAAATGATCAGCATTAGTTTCACAACATATAAATCATATACAAATGACCTGTC